GATCCACATTACTGAGACGCCAACAGGACAAAAACCAGACACATTAGTAAAATGTAGATACACTTGGGAAACTCTGAGCTTCATTTTTCACAGCTTCATTGCTGTTGTTTTGTATATTTTACAGGACCTTAACAATTACCTGATTCATTGTGTATATAAAATTCATTGAATATGTGAAGAGCAATGCCCAAAGTAAAGAGTTTTCAGCTTTCGCCGTGATGACGCTTTAAAGAACCACATAGCTTTTTTAAGAACCATTTAAGAACCAGAAGTGCTTGTGTTCTTGTGGTGTATAGGTAATGTCTTTTATTTTGTTTGTGACTGAATTTGACTCACAGTTTGTGCATGTATATTGTAAATACATATTACACAGTGTGGTTTTTGTGTTTAAAAAGCGGCACTCCCTGTCCTCAAACAGAACATAAGGAAATCCTCCTTAACCCCTGAAATCCCCTGTTCCATGTAGAGACAGAGAAATAACAGCGTAATTAATTATTTTGGAAGGGAAGCAACCAAGACAAGGCAGAACAACAAAAAGAGTAATACTAGGAACAATAATGATGAGAAAAAGGAAATTAAAAGATTTTAAATATCAAAATATTTTTAAACAGAGAACCAAAAAACAATGACAGAATATTGTTTTACAATCCATTTCTAATTGTAAAAAAGAAAACGATGAAGGGTAATTTCACACTTACTTGTTGTACCAGATCAGAGAGGTGAGCAGACTCCCCAAGCAGAGGACGGTGATTATCAGAGATAGACGTGACTTCAAGAGTTGTCCCCTCATACCTTAATCCTTCTGTTAACCTCACCTCTTGATCTGTGATTTCAGATTTTCTTTCCCTTCATCGGACTGAACATTACACACACACGTCTTCCTCAGCTTGTTCTTGTCAGAGCGACTAACATCCTGGTGTTCCTTATCTTATTTTATGACCATATTCAAACAGTGTACAGTCATAAATGCAAATAGAAAAACACATTTTGAAAGGAGGATTTCCTTATGTTCTCGTTGAGGACAGAGTGTGCCGCTGTTTAAACACAAAAACCATCAAGGTTTTGTTGATATTGATACAGTGCTGTAAAAAAAGTATATGTCCTCTTCCTGATTCCTGCTATTTGTGCATATGTCTCACAGTTAAATGTTCCAGATCATCAACTAATGTTTGTATTTATTTAATATTAGATGGAGATAACACAGAAAACACAAAATGTAGTTTTTAAAGTGAATATTTATTAAACATTTATTGAAATCCTACATCATCCCTGTGAGAAAGTAACTGCCTTCCAAAAATAACAACTGGTTGGGCCCCCTTGGCACCAACAAATGCAGTGAAACGTTTGCGATAGCTTGTCACCAGTCTTTTACATCTCCATTGAGGAATTCAGACCCACTCGTCTCTACAAAACAGTATTAATTCAGCCACATTAGATGGTTTTTGAACATGAACTGCACTTTTAAG